TGTATTGGGGAGGGGTGGGAATGATGTTTATGGTCATTGATAGTGGGGGAGGGGAGGGAGGGAGGGAGGGGAGGGATAATGATCAATGAACCATGAAGGAGAGGGGAGAGGGCAAGGGGAGGGGAGAAGGGGTGGGGGAGAAGAGGAGAACGTAGTCAAGGTAAACGAGTGTCATCCTCCACACACACACACACACACACACACACACACACACACACGTATCATCAGTTATGTTTTATTATTGAGAGAGAGAGAGAGAGAGAGAGAGAGAGAGAGAGAGAGAGAGAGAGAGAGTTATTTTACGTATGTACCAGAAGGGTGAGGTTAACACAGGTGCCAATGGTGATGCGGCACGTTTGTAATTAATTAAGGAAAGGTGAGGTAGTGGTGACGTAACTTTGTAATTAATTAAAGGAAGACAAGGATGTGAAAGTCATGTACTGTACCTTTGTAGTTACCTGTAGTTACCTGTAGTTACCTGTAGTTACCTATAAGCTACCTGTGGGAAGGTACCTCTGTGTTATGTTAAGGTCACACGTTTTGTACTTGTTGTTGTCTGTGTTTCCCGTTTTCTTTGGGATTGGGATAAATATATAGAATTTCTTTGTTCATTTCTTTATTATTTTTTTTTTTTTGGGGGTTTGACCAACTTTCCACCTCTGTCTATCTGTCTCTTCCTCTGTCTATCTCTGTCTCCCTTTGTCACTCACTGTTTCTATCTCTGTCTCTTATTTTCCACATCCTTTCTTCCCTCCTTCCCTCCCTCCCCCTCACCCATATTCATCCCATTTTCTCCCTTCCCTCCAATTCCACTTGAAGATGGTCCTGGTTGGCCCTGGTTGGCCCGTGGTTAGCCCCCTGACCTTCCTCTGCTTCTGTAGGCTGGCGGGTCAAAGGTCATCGCAAGGTTGACCTTTGTATCACCATCCTTCTCTCTTACCTCACTCTTGCTCTTCTTTTTATTGATTTTCCTGCGTTCTCTCTCTCTCTCTCTCTCTCTCTCTCTCTCTCAGCCGACGAGGTCAACTGGGAAGGCTATGAGTTTATTTTGGAATAGTACTGTGTGTGTGTGCTTGTGTGTTGGGTCTTGGGTTGACTCAGAGTGCCCCGGGTTCCAACCAGCGACACTTGGAACGGGAGGCGAACAGTGTATCCACTCTGCCACCGCCTCAGGCCATGTAAACACCGGGTAATGTGTTGGGGGAGACTCAGTCATTTTATTTGTAGCGACTCACCAAGAAGATCATCATTACATAACAAGAAACAGTCAGCGGCCACTGGTCTACTTCCTCTCTTCAGGGATCTTGCCGAAGTCAGCGTTGGAGGAGTCGAAGAGGGTCTCAGCCTGGTCACAGGGGAAGGCCTCCTGGGGGTGGGAGCAGGTGAGGGACTCCTGGCTGAACACCGTCTGGTTCCCGCAGAAGAAGGAGAACTGGGCGGTCTCCACGATCTCCCCTAGGTCGTCAGAGATGGGCAGGCAGACGTGGAACACCTGGCAGTCGGTGGGCACGTCGGCGTAGTAGCCGTAGGCGCGGCCGGCGCAGTCGAAGTTCTGGACAGGTTGTGCGCCGAGGACCTCCAGGAATCCGTCAGAGAACTGGTAGGCGGACTGGGCGGTGGCCAGAGCCACCAGGGCGAGGATGACGACCAGGGTCTTCATGTTTGTGTCTGCCGGAGGATGAGCTGTTAATACTCTCTCTCTCTCTCTCTCTCTCTCTCTCTCTCTCTCTCTCTCTCTCTCTCTAACTCCGCGAGAAAGATTAATAATTTTAGTTACCATAATGAGTGGACAGAGTGACAGAGATAGACAGAGAGATGTGCCTCAATATTCTCAAACTGCGCCTACCCCCCACTTTCACCTCCACCCTCCTCCATGAGACTTCCACCCCCCCACCTCCAACACTCAGTGGTCCTCCCTCCTGGTGACAGTCGTGGTGCCTACACATCCTCTTCACCGTATCAGATGAGCCGCCAAGACGTCCTCCTACTGGTCTGGAGACAACAAGCATGACTCGGCTGCTGCCCTGTTGAGAGTCTGAATGTGAGAGAGAGAGGGAGGGGGGGGTAAGGGGGGTAAGGGGGGTTATAGGCTTAATTTTTGTGTGGATTAGTGTCAAGGTGAGAGGCCAGGAGGAGGGAAGGAGGGAGGGAAGGAAGGAGAGAGAGATAAACATATTACCTCCATAACCCTCCTTCCAGACTCTTCCTTCCGTCCTCTTCCTCTATACCTCTCCCTCCCTTCTTCATATTCCTCCTTTCCCTCCATCTACACTCTCCTTCTCTCCCTCCTCACACTGGGGCAGTAATGTACTCACAACAACGGCGTCAGGAGAAGAAGTGATGGCAAGGGTGGTTTGAGACCCCTTTAAATACCCCTTCCCTGCCCTTCACTGCCCTAGGAGACGTCAGGAAAGGGGAAGGGGAGGAGGGGGGAGTGTCCTTATCGGGTGGTTGGGGAAGGAGAGGAAAGGTGGGAAGGTGGAAGGGGGAGGAAGAGGAGTGTACTTAGGGGATGTTAGAGAAAGGGGAGGAGAGGGAAGGGGGAAGAGAGAAAGGGGAGAGGGGGGAAGAGAGGAAAGGGGGAGGAGGGGAGTGTCCTAGATAATGATGCTGAAGTTGAAGGGGTATGGAGGGGGGTGTGATGGGTGGGGGGAGGAGTACACGTAAAAGGAATGTCTTAACATTCTATAGTGTCCAGTGGTGTAGGGGAGGGGGGGGAGGAGGGGATGTCCTTGGGGGAGAAAGGTTGGAGGGGGGCGGGGAGGGGGGTGTGAAGATGTCCACCTCACCATGCAAACAGACACTGTTGATATAACCCTGGAGGAGCTGATGTAACAACCCCTCCCTCCTTCCCTCCCTCCATCCTTCTTTTCCACCTTCCCTCCTTCTCTACTCCTCTCCCTCTCCCACCTTCCCTCCTTTATTCCCTCCCTCACTCCCTCTCTCGCCATCTTCCCTTTATTATCTCCCTCTCTCACCTCTCCTCCCTCCCCCTCACCCTTCTCTCCCTCCTTCTCTCCCTCCCTCCCGGTGGCAGAGTGGATACAGCACCCTCTCCTCTCCTAAGTGTCACTGGTTCGTTCTACAAACACCCCCTCCCCCCTCACCCTAACCCCAGTCCACTCAGGTGTGATTCCTTACCTGACTCGACAGTTTAGGCAGTGATAGGAGTCAGGTACAGTGTCGGCCATCACTACTATACGGCACTATCACCACCACCACTACAGCTTGGAGAGACATACATACATACATACATACATACATACAGTACATACATACATACATACATACATACATACATACATACATACATACATACATACATACATATATACAAAAAAACAGGACAAAATTCTAGTATGAGTAAAGAAGAAAAATTAAGAGAATAACAAAGAAAAAAATATATAAATAGATAGAAAATTAATGAAATAAAATATAATGTAGGCACAGTGTGGATTACGTTTCTATGTGCCATTTTCTTGGTTATATATAGGGGAGTTATTAGAATACACACACACACACACACACACACAAATCCTTACCTTTCTTCTTGTGTAAAAAAAATAAAAATCAATTTTTTTTATGCATACACCGTGACTGTGTGTATGTATGTATGTATGTGTGTGTGTGTGTGTGTGTTTCCAGTAGCATTGACCCATGTGCGTATAGGTGTTAATTTTATACTTTCTCCTATGACCTCCCCTCCCCCCCTCCCCCCCTCCTCCCCCTACCCCCTCCTCTTCTCTGGGCAGGGTAGGGGGGTGAGGGTAGAGATGGGTGTATTACTGCCGTGTCCTTATGTATGTATGTGTGTATGTATGTATGTATGTATGTATGTATGTATGTATGTCTTTCCTCCCTAACCTAACCTAACCTAACCTAAGAGGGTGTTAGTTAGGGCTTGAGAAAAAACATCATTGGGTGAGTTTTTGTCCAATTTATTCATTTATATATTGGTGGGATTAATTAATTTTTACCTGAGATGATAATTAATTAGTGTTTACTTGAGATGATAATTAATTAGTGTTCACCTGAGATGAAAATTAATTATTTTTACCTGAGATGATAATTAATTAGTTTTACCTGAGATGATAATTAATTAGTTTTTACCTGAGATAATTAATTAGTGTTTACCTGAGATGAAAATTAATTCGTTTTCATAATACATTTTTTCCTTTACGTGACTAAAATAATCCAATGAATCTCTGATCGAAGCCTTACAAACCTCTAGTTCAAGGCTTCATATGGTATAGCTAAGGTCCTAATGAAGCTGAAGCAGTCGAGTCTTTAGTTCGGAGCTTTATATGATTCGTAATATCTGCAGTTCGAGCTTTTGGGGATATTCGAAACTTATGTGAAATATCTTCTGAACTTTTGGGGATAATTTGAGGTGTTCGGAGCATTGAATCATATTTTTTAAGTCTTTTAGAGATGATCCGAACACTTGGGAACACCAGGTCTCAAGTTTGAAGCTTTGGGAACACTTAAAACTTTATTCTGAACTTTAATTCTTTGATGAGAATTCCCGAGAACTTTTTAGTTTCATTTTGAATGTTGGATCACCAATTTGAGGCTTCAGAGACGTTTCGAAACACCAGTCAAACCATTGAGTCAATTATATGGATCATATAGAACCTTGAAACAATTTTGAACCTTTGACTCTCCACTTCAAAGCATCGGAACTGTCTCGAAACACCCCTCAAAGCTTCAGATAAAAGAGTTAAATTCTCAAGACCCTTTTAACTTCATACAGGACTTTAGATTTTAATGTCGAAGCTTCAGAGTGTCTCGAAACATGATCCACAGCTTTGGGTCGTCAGTTGGAGAGTTAGAAGAAAGTCTGGTCTTCGTTGACCTCAAAGAACCTCACGTTGGAGATCTCGTAGAGTCTCTCAGCCAGCTGGCACGGGTAGGCGTCTTCAGGGTAGGTGCAGGTGAGGGACTCCTGGTTGAACACCGTCAGGTTCCCGCAGAAGAAGGAGAAGTGAGCGGTCTCGAGCAGCTGTAGGAGGAGGAGAGTGTTGTGTTATCTGGCGGAGCTGTGACACGTAACCTTATCTTATTTAACATCTAACCTGACCTAACCTGACCTAACCTGACCTGACATAACCTAACCTGACCTGACCTAACCTAACCTGACCTGATCTTAACCTAACCTGACCTGGACCTAACCTGACCTAACCTGACCTAACCTGACCTGACATAACCTAACCTATCCTAACAAACTATTTTAACCTAACCTAACTCAACACGATGTGACGTAAACAAACGTAAACAAAGAACACGTGGGTCTGTCATCTAGATCAGCTGACGAGAGAGACAGGAATGTAAACAAACAACACGTGTTCTCTCAGCAACATGTCGTGACGTGTGGAGGAACGCGGAAATACAGAAGAGGTGACACGTGATTGGTGAAATACGGAATTATAACCTCCTCCTCCCTCCTACCCCCTAAAAAAGACAAAACAAAGGTACAATTGACAGGTTTTATGACACCACAAGGTCGAATTCCTTCCTAAATTGGGTGAGAAGACAACCAAGTCGACGCGTGAGGTTAAGAAAAACACCCAAATCATCGTTCCTATCCCAGCAAATGGCATATTTTTTTTTGTTACCTCTACGACAAATTACTACCCCCCCCCCTCCCCCTCACACGACGCCCGGTGTAGTAGGCGTCAATCACTCTAGGCAGGCTAAACTCTTGGAGTGAAGTTTATCATCAGGTGTGCCTTCTAGAGCTCAACCCACTTAGAGAGGTTGACTCCTACTTCACTTGCAGGACACTAATGACGCTCCAGGAAGCCAGTCTACAAGCCAGGTGGGGGTCGTGACGTCATAAGCGAGGGACATGTCATGAAATATTATCATTATTATTATTATTATTGTTATTATTATTATTATTATTATTATTATTATTATTATTATTATTGTTATTATTGTTATTATTGTTATTATTATTATTATTATTATTATTATTATTATTATTATTATTATTATTATTATTATTATTATTATTATTATTGGTGTCGTGTGGTTGTTATTCAACTTTATACAATTTAATTAATTAAAGGTCGTATTTATTTGAATTATGATTAATAACAGAGTTTACCCTGTTACCTGTGTGTGTAATAATAATAATAATTAACGGTTTATTGAGAAAGTTCTGCATACAAAGACATGGGGAGTGGGTCGTTTATAACATGGGGTGGGTGTGGGTCGTTTAACATGGGGTGGGTGGGGTCGTTTAACATGGGGTGGGTGGGTCGTTTAACATGGGGTGAGTGGGGTTGTTTAACATGGTGTGGGTGGGTCGTTTAACATGGGGTGGGTGGGCTGTTTATATGGGGTGGGTGGGTCGTTTAACATGGGGTGGGTGGGTCGCTTAATCATGGGGTGGGTGGGTCGTTTAACAAAAGCTTTCATTACTGAAAGAAGAAGGAACATGAATTGAACATACAAATTATTATAGTTTACAGTTGATGGCCCGGGCCTGGACTGGTCATGGAGACACCGGGTGGTGTGGTGTTCACGTGGTGTAGTAACTCGTCCTCGGGTGTTGATATGAAGGACCTCACGTGGTCATGGAGACACCAGGTGGTGTGGTGTTCACGTGGTGTAGTAACTCGTCCTCGGGTGTTGATATGAAGGACCTCACGTGATCATGGAGACACCAGGTGGTGTGGTGTTCACGTGGTGTAGTAACTCGTCCTCGGGTGTTGATATGAAGGACCTCACGTGGTCATGGAGACACTGGGTGGTGTGGGGTGGTGTCACAGTACCCCACCTACTGGGTGGTGTTGTGTTATCTCGTAGTCAGGTGTAAAGCCGACTCCCTGTTGTTCCCAGGGTGGACTGATTAGCACCTCCTAGTCAGAGGATGGTTCCCAGGGGTGCTTATCTCACTGGTGGGTCACGGTTCTCACTGGTACTGTCTAGTGCTGAGTTCACTGGCTCAAACACTGTTCATCACTGATCAACACTGCTCCCAAGTCTTTCCGAAACAAAATTGTCACTTTTTATTATGTTGATATCCTGGTGGTGAGGATGGGTCAGAGAGGGACTTAAGGAGGGCCGACATGGCCAAGGGAGGGGGGGCGCTGCTGATATGAGCAGCGGTTGAATAGCTCTTGACCCTACGGTATCAAGGGTGTGTGTGTGTGTGTGTGTGTGTGTAACAATATAGATAGATAGGTAGATAGTGTTTAGTATACAATACCTAACTTAAAACAGACAAACTTTAAAACAAACCAACAACCCCCCCCTTCCATACATACCGCACCATACTCGTCGCTGATTGGCTGACAAATGTGGAATATCCGACATCCACTCGTGACGTCAGCGTAGTACCCGAACACCCGACCTCGACAGGAGAAGAACGGCCTCTTGATCTCCTGACCTCCAAGGACCTCCAGGTACCCATCAGGAAGCTGATAGGCCATCCTGCACGAGGCGCTGACGGCGAGGAGGAGGAGGATGGAGAAGAGGAGCAGGATTGGTGGAGAAATGGTGGTGGTGGTGACCTTCATGTTGATGCTGTGAGGGAGAGAGTGAGGGAGATGGTGAGGGAGAGAAGTGAGGGAGATGGTGAGCGAGATGGTGAGGGAGATAGTGAGGGAGAGAGTGAGGGAGAGAGTGAGGGAGAGAGTGAGGGAGATGGTGAGAGAGATAGTGAGGGAGATGGTGAGGGAGAGAGTGAGGGAGATGGTAAGGAAGATAGTGAGGGAGAGAGTGAGGGAGATGGTGGTCGTGAGATGGGGGTGTGAAAAAATTAAATAATGAAGAATTAACGTCCACAGACACACACACCCACCCCCCCCCACACACACACACACACACACACACACACACACACACACACTTTATCCATTCCCTTCTATCCATTCCTCTTTCTCTCTCCTCTCGTCTCCTTCCTTCCTTCATCCCTCCCTACATCCCTTTATTCTTCTTATCTCCTCCCTTCTTCCTTCTCGTCCTGTTTCCCCTTCCCTTCTTCCTTTGTGCCTCTGTTCCTTCCGCTCTCCCTTCCTTCTCCCTGCTTCCACTTCCCTCCTTCCTTCCCTCCCTCTCACCCTACTCCATCTTTCTCCCCTTCTCTCTCCTCTACCTTCCCTCCCTCCCTCCTTCCCTTCCTAACTTCTTCACTCTCCCTATCTTCACCCTCTTTTTTCCATCCCTTTCCTCCCTCCCTACCTCTCTCCCTCCCTCCCTCCATTCCTTCCTACCCCTACCCTCCCTCCCTTTCCACCTTCTATCCATTCCTCTTTCTCTCTCCTCTCGTCTCCTTCCTTCCTTCATCCCTCCCTACATCCCTTTATTCTTCTTATCTCCTCCCTTCTTCCTTCTCGTCCTGTTTCCCCTTCCCTTCTTCCTTTGTGCCTCTGTTCCTTCCGCTCTCCCTTCCTTCTCCCTGCTTCCACTTCCCTCCTTCCTTCCCTCCCTCTCACCCTACTCCATCTTTCTCCCCTTCTCTCTCCTCTACCTTCCCTCCCTCCCTCCTTCCCTTCCTAACTTCTTCACTCTCCCTATCTTCACCCTCTTTTTTCCATCCCTTTCCTCCCTCCCTACCTCTCTCCCTCCCTCCCTCCATTCCTTCCTACCCCTACCCTCCCTCCCTTTCCAGCCCTACCCTCCCTTTCCAACCATACCCTCCCTTCCTCCACAAATACCACCACGGTTTAGGGTAGGCCAGTAATTAACCCTACAGTAAAGTTTATGATGATGGTCACCAAAGAAAACGTTAAAAAAAAAGAAAACGAAAGATAGAAAACGGATCCCAGAAATAAGGACGGGGGTAACTATCATAAACACGAACGACACGACGCGCACACTTTAGACAAGGCTGGGAGGAGGGGAAGGTAGGAGGGAGGGAAGGGTAGAGGGATGGGGAGGGAAGGGGATGGGGAGGAAGGGGGTAGAGGGATGGAGGGTGTAGGTGGATAAAGGGGCAGATTGTCTCAATTTTAATTATTTTTTTGTTTCACACCCTCACATCCTACTGCGTTCCTAGTTGACGGAAGGGGAGGGGGGAGAGGTAAAGGCCGGGTATGCGCCCTGGGGAGAAGATGGGAGATGAGGGGATTAGAGATGGGGGAAGGAGGAGGTTGTTTTTTTGGGGGGGAGAAATTGATGAGGGGATGGAGAAGTATGGGGGGTGGAGGAGAGAGAGAGAGAGAGAGAGAGAGAGAGAAGAGAGAGAGAGAGAGAGAGAGAGAGAGAGAAGAATAATGAAGGAAAGAAAATGAGAAGAGAACAAATAATAAGAGAATAAAGGGAAAAGATTAGAACAGATGAGAGAGGGAGAAGATGAGAGGGGTAAACAAAATTAACACCACTCGTCAAGGCTGTAGTGAACCGTGCGGAGTGGGAGAGAGAGGGAGAGTGAAGGAAGGAAAGGGAAGAGGGGGGGAAGGGAAGGGAAGGGGGGAAAAGAGGGGGAGGGAAGGGATAGAAGGGGGGGAGACAGGTACTAGCCCCTTCACCCTGACATTTGAGTATGTTAAACCTTTACTATTGGTACGAGGTCGACCTTGAGCCTTTCACGGAGATAGATAGATAAAGATAGATAGATAGATAGATATATAAATATAGATAGATAAATAGTGTCATGACCCAGCCACTGGTGACCTCAGTGACCTGTATAATAGTGAACAAGGTCATCTCTCCCTCGCTTGTTTTCCACTAATTAAATGATGCTTTGTGTTTGTCTGTTTGTGTGTGTGTGTTTGTTTGTGTGTGTGTTTGTTGTGTTGGTGTGTTTGTTTGTCTGTGTGTGTTTGTTTGTCTGTGTGTTTGTTTGTGTGTGTGTTTGTGTGTGTGTGTGTTTGTTTGTCCTTGTTTGTCAGTTTGTCTTTGTATGTTTGTTTTATCTGTATTTTAGTATGCTACTGTGTTTGTGTGTTTATGAGTACGTGTATGTATGTATGTATGTATGTATGTATGTATGTATGAATGTATGTATGTATGTATGTGTATAAGTGTATAATATAATGCTAATAAATATATCTCCATCATACACAAGACCATTTATACACATTAATACACAATTATACTCCTGTACCGCTTTTGTTTACACCTTACACGAACGGCTCCTGGCTAGATCCAACTTGAGACGGATTTACGGCTCACAAACCTCACGTCTTTATGTTTATGTTCCAATATGTCATCGATATTACATCCCTGCTATATAACCTTGAATTAAATAGCTAAGACGATAATATAACCTGTAATTATATTTTGGACGATAATATAACCATTAATTATATAACTACGAGTATAATGTAACCTTTAATTATATAACTAGGACGATAATACAACCCCTAATTATATCTCAGCATTTAATCTCACATAATTGCTAATATAACATGACTTTAATATAACCTTATATTAAATAATTACGCCTCCAAGTTATATAAATTATACGTCATTCTGCGCATATAATCGTGTTTCATTATTATTATCATTATTATTATTATTATTATTATTATTATTATCATTATTATTATTATTATTATTATTATTATTATTATTATTATAGAAGACCGTAAACTAATGTAGGCTATATAATTATAGGGAGGTAATTTGTGTCCCTATTATACCTTGGCATTATAGCTATTTAATTATATATTTTTTATATTGTATGACAGGTGTATGACAGGTAAGGAATTATAGTGAGGTTGGTTATTGATTACAGGTAAGGTAGATGGGTAGGTATGTAGACAGGTAGATGGGTAGGTATGTAGACAGGTAGATGGGTAGGTATGTAGACAGGTAAATGGGTAGATATGTGGACAGGTAGACAGGAGGGTAGTTAGACAGGTTGTGAGGTAGACAAGGAGTTAGGTTGATTAGTAAGCAAACCGGTTGAGAGAGAGAGAGAGAGAGAGAGAGAGAGAGAGAGAGAGACACTAGGTCAACCATCATCATCTTCAAGGACGATTTCGCTTCGGATACGTGAACCGGATAACTGGTGGGTGAGTCGACACTTCGTTCTTCGTCACTACTTCGAAAGTTTGGATTTTTTGTTTTTTACTTCAGTTTCAGGTTCGTTGGTTCGGTGTTTCGGGGCTTTTTTTGCTTCGTTTTGGGGTCTAATGATTCGATTTATTTAAAGATTATAATGAAGTATAATTTTTTTTTTTTTAAAGATTCATGAGTTTTGGTGATTCGGATTTTTGCTTCATATTAAGTATCATTGGTTCGAAGCTTTGGATTTTGGGGTTCATATTAGGGTTCAAATAATAATGTGTAATGAACTATACATTTTCCATTATTGTGAATCACTGGTTCGTGTCTCAGAGAGTTACTTCGGATGAGCGTCTGTTACTCTGAACCAACGAGACGACACGGTGAATTATTTCGAACCGTTGTGAATCACTGTCTCGATGATTCACTTTATATAATATGTGAGAGAGAGAGAGAGAGAGAGAGAGAGAGAGAGAGAGAGAGGATTGGTATTTGACTCTTCGTTGACATCTAAGACTACGATGAGGATGATGATGAGGATGATGATGAGGATGATGAGGATGATGAGGATGACAGGGCGGTAATCACCACAATGGGTCATAACACAGGTGGTTCACACAGGTGCTTATTAAGGTCACTACACCTGGCTGGGTCATCATCATGTTAAGTACCACCTGTTGACCTTCTGATGAGGGGGGGGAGAGGAGGAGGAGGAGGAGGAGGAGGAGGAGGAGGAGGAGGAGGGAGGAGGAGGAGGAGAAGGAGGAGGAGGGAGGAGGAGAGGAGAAGGAAAAGGAGGAGGAGGAGAGATCATTGTGTGTACGTATGTATGTATGTATGTAATGTAGCCATGTATGTATGTATGCTTAATGTATGTATGCGCCACTACTATAGAAGTAGCCAATATTAACTATTTCATCATTATTATTTTATTATTATTATTATTATTATTATTATTAGTAGTAGTAGTAGTAGTAGTATTAGTAGTAGTAATGGGTCTAAATTGACAGAGTGAGACAGACAGACAGACAACACTAACCTTCCCAGTGAGCCTTAGCACACAGACAAGCACGACCACCACCTCTACTGTATAACCTCCTCCCAGGTAACCCCTCCATGCCCCCCCTCCTCCCCTCTGGCTACAACATACACCTGAAATACCTGTACTGGAACACACCTGTACTGAAACACACCTGAACTGGAACACACCTGTACTGAAGCACACCTGTACTGTTATACACCTGTACTGAAACACACCTGTGCTGAAACACACCTGTACTGAAATACCTGTACTGGCACACACCTGTGCTGAAACACACCTGTACTGAAACACCTGTGCACTGGAACACACCTGTGCTGAAAACACTGTACTGGAACACACCTGTACTGAAACACACCTGTACTGAAACACACACCTGTACTGAAACACACCTGTACTGAAACACACCTGTACTGAAATACACCTGTACTGAAACACACCTGTACTGAAATACACCTGTACTGGAACACACCTGTACTGGGTTCTCTATTATTGTTAT